CACTCATTACTTTATTTTAATACGAATATTCAAAGAAACAGTTGTGCCATTGATATATGATACTGTCTACAAAAGAATCAATTTGATAAGAAATATGATTGAATAGATCTAATGACACAAAGAACAATAATTGTTACTTTTTTTTATAACTTACATTGAAATGATTGTCCGATGGTTAAAATCAAGAATATTTGTAAAAATATATAACTGTAATATATCATTTTAATTGTATGTTTATTTGATAATCATTTTATTTTAATAGATCATAATAATTTCTATAATAATATTGTGTTTATCTATAATTGAAAAAATAAAATAAATAAGAACAAGTTTGTACTTAAAAAATATAGGAGTAGATGAAAGTATGAAAATATATGTTAGTTCTCAATTGCTGAGCTTGTTAGAATGAAAGTTCGTATGGAGAAAAACGAGATTTACCCACCTATTTTCTTTTTCTCTTTCTCCCTCGCTCTCGCTCTCTCTCTCATTTTCTCATTTTCTTATATAGTTAAGTATCAAATTTTCATGTAAATCAACATGAACTCAACAAGTAATAAACAACATTTGATAGATACTAAATAGAATACTTGTTTCTCGTCAATCGTCGGCATTACCAGGGTTCTCTATTAATTCACTACACTTGTAAGAAAGAGAATAAAACAAAGATATGATAAAAGATAATCTTTCTTTTCTTTGTATTCTTCTTTCCTTTTTGTTGTTTCATTTGATTCATATTGTTTTTGTCTCCCCGAACATATAGCAAAAAAATGTTGATGGCGGAAGAGAAAAAGGTGATGATCGGATTTATCGTGATATTTATTTACAGAAGAAAAACTACATAAGTATTGACTACAACTTTTTTCTACGAATAAATACTATAGAAGATAACAAACTAAATTTATTCTTTTATACTTATTGTATATAATTTTATCTATTATTGTCACTATCGGCTAAACTGTTGTTTATGCTTAATTAGATCGAACTGATATTAAGTGTTGAAATAATATCGTCATGATCAAGGTCGAATATGCCTGCTAGTGATAATCGTTCACATTACACCTTCACTTATCATGTTTTTAATCCGATTGACGACAGCACTTTCTCTCATATGTCATTGGAACGTTTGTTTATGTCTGTTATTGGACATAGACAACAAAATCAGTAGATATATATATATTCAATTTGCATATATCAACTGATAAAAAATCTTATTTTGTTCATTTAGAAATGAAATATATCAATTCTACAGAGAATATCATCACGAGATGATAAATATAGTTTTCTATTATATAGAGAGAGAAAAAACCTTAGTGGATGTGTAAGATGATCTTTCAAAGCTACTTATTTACTTAATAGTCTACTCCCATGATGTAAAACAAAAATAAGATAAAATCTTAATAAAAAAAAACAATATAGGAATTCAAAAGATAATTAAACTACTAAATGATCCAAAATACAAAATTAATACTCTTTTTTTAATGAATAAAATTGATTATCTCACAAGCTTATCACAATAAGGAATAAATTAAAATGAAAATTAATTTTTTTAGAGAATAAAAGAAAATACTCATTAACAGGTTTATAATGTGTCAAGAAAAATTCTATCTATTGAATGACGATATACCTTGTATGTGATATTGACGTATGCTAGACTAAAGGCCAATATTGTTTGATACTTTCCAGTAAATATGTAATTTTATGCTATAATGTAGTCTGATAATAGTAATACAGAGGATAAATCAATTAATACATATTCATAATTAATAACACATTTGTTATATTGAGCAAGGATTCAAAGTTCCTAGCGAGTACTCTAAGTGTCTATAAAATGTATAAAAAAAGACAAGATAAAAATATTTTCTTTATTATGATCAATAATATCATCTGACATTAACTTCTAAAAATATCTACAATAATATATTAATATAGAAAGATAAAAAATGTATATGACAATTGTTACACAATAACAACATATGTGACAAGATATATGATCTATTTTGATATTTTTATATTCCTGGAAAATAATTGACTTCGATGGGTGGCGTTGTATTCAGTAATACATTACAAATTACATACGAATAACATGAAAACCTGATAAATCACTTTATTAATTAATTCGTATTCTTATAAATATTTCATAATAGTATTAAATTATTAAAAAAAACATACATTTGATATTCATTATTAATGCAAAAGCTTACTAGTAAAAGAAATGTTATAAGAATCTTTATATTTATTATTGATAGTAGAGAGTCTATACTTTTCTAAAATATTAAAAGTACACATAGTTATTTATTTAGCATAAATAGTTCTTTGTCATATTTATTTATTTTATATGTCAATGACCTCGTCAATACATATCATATCTCAGTGATATTATCACTAGAATTTACCTAGCTATATGAGTAGATATATAGGTAGATATTTCAATATATGGATAGATAGACGGATAGTTATGGATATGGTTAGATAATTGAGTATGTGCATAGATTTACCTATCTATCCGCTTAATCATACACTTGACCATCCATCTACCTAATCATATACGGAACTATCTGTATATCAATCTACCTACCTATCCACTTGATAGGTATATACGCAGATAAATCCCAGTGATAATATCCCTAAGGTATGACATGCACTCGACCTCGTAGGATAGAAATCAAAGTTTAGTACGAGTAACTATTAAAACATATATGACATTTCAAAAAAATAGTTTTCTTTTTTCTTATCTAGATAATATTACTTTCGTTGACTTTTGTACATTGTTAACTTTTCGTATTGAAAACAAGTCATATTCTGATTTCTTGTCAATATAATTCTAAATAGATTTATTCAAGCATTTTAATAATATCAGGACAAATTGAGAGTATGAGATATTTTGTTTGTGAATCACGATGATGAAGTAAAATATTTCATTTACATATTGAAAAAAGTCTAGGTGTCTTATAATTACTGCAAGATATCTTTATGTCAATCTGCCAGTTTTTTTTTTGTAAAATAGGCACAACTATCTAATTAATTTTTCTTCTGCTTCGAGAATATTATTAGAAATATTAATATTTTAATTAAAGTTCAAAGCCTAAAATCTTTTCTTATGCGTGACATTTACATCCTTCAACGCACTCCAGATACAAATTTGCTTCTAAAAACATATCTCATAATTATTAACTTATGAAAAATATTAGTTCTCGTTGATTAACAAACATATATCATAATAAATATGAATTCTACAATTCTTTTATCATCATCATCATCTTATACAGTAAATATGATGAATACGATACAAATGATATTTGTAGAAATTTTTATTATACTTGTTTCTATTGGTTTATTTGCTAATATAATCAATTGTATTATCTTTTATCAAGCAAGATTCCGAGGAAATGCTTGTGCATTACTATGTGCATCAATCAGTGTAATTAATATTCTTATACTTATACAAGGTTTTATTCACTCAATGTTAACAATTCTATGGAATTCTAATCCAGACAATTCTAGTTCAGGTTATTGTAAAACGAGATTATATATAAGACACAGTCTTATGATGGGAAATCGTACTTTAACAATATTTGCTTGTTTTACATGTTTTGCATTATCATCAAAACGTGTTCACCTTCGATTATTAGCCGGTCGAATATCTCTTATATATTGCCTCATTATTATTACATGTTTTTTATGGTTTTTAATTTCCATTCATATACCATTCAATCTAGATATTATCAGTAATCAATGTATAATGATTGGAAATTATCAATTAATATTTTCAATTTATTTAATACTATTAGCAGGTATTTTATCACCTATATTAATGATTAACTTTATATATTTAACATTATTGAATTTAAAAGCATTACATCGACCAAAGGAGACACTACATAAGAATTTTGATACATCTCATCGTATAAAAAAACGTGATTCACAACTTATACGTATGTTACTTTCACATGTTATTATATATCTTATAACAACATTTCTTTTTCCAATAAATATGTTTTATCAAGCAGTAACACAATATATAAATAAAAGTTCAGAACGTTTAGTTATTGAAAGTTTTATCACATTTAATACAGATTATTTTATTTTTTATTTCAATAATATTGCACCATTTTTCACGTATTATTGTACATCATCAAGTTTTCGTACTGAACTCAAACGAATACGTTTCATGTGCAAAAATCGTAATCGTGTTACATCAAATAGTACTTTAACGTAACAAATTCAACAATCAGTATGATTAAAATACATGTCACATTGTGGACTCGTAGTGTTCATAATCTTTTCACTATCATCATCAATGTCTTCATCAGATGTGATACATATATTAATGAATCAACTGGAAACAGTCAATCAACTTTAGTAAAATGTATTTGATGCTTTTCTATCGTCAAGTTATCCTGAAATCTGCACAAATATCAATCTATTTCTAAATTAACTCATATTATACTCGCAAAAAATTCAGACGTTATCGAAGAGTTCTTACAATACAAACTATCAATTATGTACTTACAAGAATATAGTTCAAATCCACCATTAGCAAAATGACGAAGAAATGTTTTTGAGGAAGAGTTCGTAATGACATTCACAAACTTGTGACTGAAGACCATTTATCTCTGTTCGGTCATATGTTATCAATGAGGCAAATCTTTTTTTGTTCCTTTCAATTACTGCCCATATTACATACATAATCTTTTGGTACCATCTAAAGTATTCTCTTTTTTTTGTTTTTGCAGTCTCTGTTTTTTGTCTGTCATCAAGATCTGTGTTTCACAATGGTATTTTGTTTCCATGCTATAGGAGCAAGGTTCACTTATAGCATTATAACACAACTACTAGACAGTTTAATAAATCGAGATGAAAAGAAATATTTCTTTTATTTAGCACAAAATAACAAACAGCTAGTAGGGAAAGACTAAACCACATTCTTTCGGTTCGTATACACGTATGACGCACATCATATATGCGAGACAAAACGGAAAATCAGTATAACAATGGAATGACGTCAAGAGAAATGGAAGAATTTCTTTCGATAATGTGAATAGTATTAATGTAAATAGGGAGTGCATGAAATAAAACAATAATCGTAATAATTCAATTATCAAAAGACCGTTTTAATATGTACGTTCACAGATGTATGCATTAGGAAGACTACTAATAATCGAAGACTATGTTCATGCTTTGAAACTATAATCAAGCGGTTTATTCTATAATTCAAGTTTAATCAATTCTTAAAATTTAATCTAATACAAGCAAGTGTCACATCGAATATTCTACAACTTCAGGATTTTGTTTCTAAATCTCATGATATACATCTTAGCATCGAATATAAGAAAGAATGATGAACATGATTATAAACAATCAACTGTAAGTAAGAGTTTCTTCATTGAAATTAAATTTCCTGTTTAAATATATATATATATGTGTAGTTCGTTGAAAGTGAAAAAAATCCGTTATTTATTTCTTAGTTAAATAAACCGATGGAATATAAGCAAAAAAAATTGTTCTAAATGTCACGGTGATAATCGGTTGTTACTGTGCCTATGAGAAGAAGCAGAAATCATATTTATATAATTTTCGATTTTTTTTCTTCTATACTTTTGTAGCTTGTGTTAGTTCACGTCTCATTGAAAATGCATCTTCACCATCAGCATAATAACGTGGATCACGATCATGTATTCTATTTAAAAGAGAATTATTAGAATATAATTTCGATTAAATTAATCTTACGTGAATTTAAGAGCATTTTGATATAAGTGTAATGCTGCTCGATTACTAACACGTACATGTAATGAAACATATTTAGCATTGAAATTTTCTACCATTGCTCGACTTGCTTGTTCCATTAATTTTTGAGCTAAACCAAGACGACGATGTGTTCGTCGTACAGCCTAAAATAATGACAAAAAAATATTTCATTTTTAAATTTTATCTGAAATTTACCAAAGAAGTTATATGACCATGAGGTATGGTATCTTCACCATCATCTTCCCTATAAAAATAAAATTCAATATAGATTTTAACAAAAAAAAGATTTTATACATTTTAGCTAAAACATAACCAACAATTTTTCCGCTATCATCTTCTGCAACATATGATAATTGTGGCCAGGATAAACCATGATAGAAATAATATTTCAGTTGATAATTTTCTGGTAAACATAATAAATTACAATTTTGCATATTAATTAAATCGTCGGGCTAGAAGACATTCGTTTTAATTGGAGAAGAAAAATCAAATTATATAACTTACAGTAGCATTTCGGATAATCATTTTTAATAGTTTAGTTTTTATTCAAATAATTAAATAGTAACAAGAAAAATGAAAAATATAAAATTCTATTTAACCAATGAAAATATTCTTGTGTTGGAAAATGAATCATATTCATTTATGCATTTAGTATAAAATTAATATTCATAATTTTTATAAATTATTATTTTTAGACAATAATAATAATATCAGAAATTTTAAGTTAATTAATTTCTTATAATTAGAAAAATATCATGTTAGATTTACATATCTTTCCGTTTGATCTGATTTTATCGAAAGTTATTTATATGACATGATGATCTGTGCGTAGATCGCTAGAAATATGAATAATCTTAAGAATAATAAAGTCAGAAAAATAATAATAACTATTCGAATAATCATCATTATTAGAACGTTAATACTCAGAAATTGTAGATGGCAGTAAACGTAAAATACTTTCGTTTTCACTTAGGAAATGTTTAAGTATACTTAATCATCCAAGTCTTTATAATTGAAGTCTGTCCTTGTTTATAGTATTGTCAATGATTCGATTTATGCATATATAGTTTAACAATAAATGTCATTTTTTTAATATACAAAATATCGGAATCTAAGAAATTTATAAGTATCCTCTCAATAATAAAAGTTAACTTAGATTGTTTTTCCGGTGACTTTAAATAAATACGAATGATTGCTATTGAAATAGTTTGTGTGATAGAAAATTTAGATTTTTTCATGAGACAAGTCTATTTAATTTATTTAATAATTCAATTCATGTTATGATGAATGTACAACAAATCGAACATTTTCAGTGTAATACCATAAGTCTCAAATTTTGAGAACAAAGTGATAAGAACATAAGTAATCATAGAAAATTTAATTTTTCAGATGGTTAGTTTCCTATTTGCAAGTAGTTTTTAGTGCTAAATCTATTCACCACAACATGACTTCATGTGCCTCTATCATGATAAACATGTTTTTCTTTAATTCTGCTGCTGAACTCCTTTAGACGATGAGTACACATATAGATGCATATGGTTTATCTTTAGTTCAATTAGATGTCGCTTCAGTATATGTATATTTATATTTATAATCGCTTGTCAATATCCGTTAAATCTTTTGTATTCAATCAAATTATGATTTTAATCAATATAAAATTTATAATAGAAGTATAAGTTTATAAGAATAAGTAAAATTGAATAATTTCATCTAGTGTCATCTATAAACAAACTTGAAAAACTGAATTTTTTGAATATAATTATTAAAATAATCCAAATAAGTTTTTATTACTTTTTGATTGATAAAAAAATTTTATTTTTTTTCAAATGACAAATAAACATAAAATTCTCGAGTAACATCTTGAATAGAGTTTCACATTCTCTTAAGATTCATCATGGCCGTCGATGATGTCGATTCGGAGAAGATTTTTGGACAAACAAATAAACATATCTAATACATAATAGAAAATACTTAAATCTTTCTTATCCTAGTTTTTGTTTATGTTTTTTTTTGATTGAAATTAATTTGATTTTATGTTCTTATTTTTAAGATCGACAATGCGTCGACGACGTCGTCTATTTTAATGGCCGGTAGTGGCCACAATCATCAACAAATAAAATACTCATATTTTCATTATAATAATTCACCTGTACTCATCAATAAAACACCATCTGTATGCACTTCGACACACCTAGATCAATCGATGATGAATTCGTCGACATCTCCTTGGTATCATCCATCAGCTATCAGCGGTGAGAACGACGATTCAAAATCTTGTGATGGACCAAATGCACCTCCTGTACCATTAGCAACAATGAATAAACCACCATCATCATTATCATTAAATACTGATTGTACAAATACAAATCAACAACCATATGAAAATTATGGACATTTTTTTGTTAAAAAAACCTTTCATAAACCAACATATTGTCATCATTGTGTCGAAATGTTATGGGGTCTCATTGGACAAGGATATTATTGCGAAGGTAGAAAAAAACAGAACAAAAAGGAAAAAAAAGAACGAATTTATTATATTGATTTTTATTTATATTTTAAGTATGCAATTTTATTTGTCATGATCGTTGTCGAAAATATGTCATATCGCCATGCTCAAGCATTGCACCTATACTTATAAAAGTAATTGAACAAGAAAAAAAAAAGACTAAATTAATTTTTTTGTTTATAATATATAAATAGAATCCCGTGTGTCATATATGGTCGGATATATCCCGGTTTAAACGTAAATTTTGCAATATATGTCGAAAACGACTTGAAGATTTTTCCGCCGTACGATGTGAAGGTAAGAGAAGAAAATAAAACCCTATGTAAAATTCTCTCATATATATATTGTATTGTGTTCAGAAAAGATAATCTAGGAATAAATATCAGGTAAAATAAATTAACCAAAAAAAATTAAAAAATTAACATTTGATTGATTCAGCTAATAATTAACATTTATTTTTTATCTTTGAATTAAATATATAAAAATATATATTTTATTTTTAGTGTGCGAATATTATGCACATGAAGATTGCAAAGATTTTGCTGTTAATGATTGTCGTGAAACAGCTACCTATGTACCAACAAAAGATAATGTAAGTAATTTAAATTGATCTGAGGTGTATTGTTTGAAATAGTTCTCAATGATCTCGGAGATGGTTTCTACGGAAAGATAATGTGTTTAGTGAATCAGTACACAAAGTTTATTGAAATCTTCTATTAACTGAGAATAATTAGTGAAATAGAATACTTTTATCAGTACGGTAACGATCTTCTGACTGCTTTTATTTGATCTGAACGAAGGATTTAAATCAACCTAGTTTAATTGTGTTATCAAAAACGTATTTTTGTTAGATATGAGTCTTTATCAATGAACAAAACATTCAATTGAGAGTAATTCTTACCTATAATAGAAATTTCTATAGTTATTTATTTGATTATTACTTACAATATATATACATTACATGAAAAAATACCTTTGAATATTACTTTTCTAGTCAATAACATCTGTACGACATTATCATCATTGGCGTGAAGGAAATTTACCAACAAATTCTAAATGTGCCGTATGTCGAAAAACATGTTGGTCAAGTGAATGTCTTGCTGGTATGCGTTGCGAATGGTGTGGAATAACAGTACGTATATATACATGAATAAAATGAGAATCTTCAATTATATTCTTTATATTTATTTTTAGACACACAGTACTTGTCGTTCACGTGTACCAGAAGAATGTGGTTTTGGTACATTAAGAGATATAATAATCCCACCCTCTGCTATATCAATTCCACGTATAGCTGATCTCAATAAAGATCTTATATTAGGCATTGGAAATAATATGTCAAAACCAATACAAACAGCATCAAATAATAATTCTATTCAACAACCATCTGATTATGTTATTGTTAGTCCATCAAATATACATGGTTCAAAAAGTCCTGGAACATTTAGTAAGTTAAAAACATTTATTTTATTTCATTCTGATTTAGTTGCATCCCCTTTATACACACATATATATATATAAATATGCATACATTTATTTTGTTTGCACTTTATTGCAAAAACTATTTATTATTAAACGTCTAGAACGACAAACATCATGTGTTTTACCAAGAAAAAATCCTTCTTCCACAATACTAACATCAAATCAATTATCAGTACAACGACCCACTCACAGGGGTACCGATTATAATTAGATAGAAATCAAATTTTTAGCACGTTTTCTTTTCTTATATTATTTATTTCAATGCCTGCATGGATCTAGAGTATATCTATTTTATTTCTTTTTCCTATCATCGTTTTTCTTCTTCTTCTTACATATATATATAGATATATAAATAAACAATAAATATTAATTTAAATATTTCCATTTTTATTAGTGAGAACATCATCAACAGAAAATCCATCAGGTGGTGATCCAGACACAGGTCCTATATTTACTGGAAAAGATCCTCAAAGTCGAAGTGGTCTAGACATGCATGAAGGTACAAGTGCACAGATAGAAAATGTACCACCAACAACTACAAAGCTCAAATCATCTAAACCAGCAAATAAAGGACAACAAGATGAAGAAGAAGAACGAGGTAATTAGAAATAAATTTAAACTATATATATCAATCAACATGTTATTTTTATTTAGAAATGATCAAAGTTTATGATGGTAATGCAACATATCGTAATGGCACTCCCCGTTCAATTTCCGTTCCCAAACAAGCGAGTTATACTCAAATTCTGGTATGTCATATACTTTATTAATAAATAAATAAAAATTTCTTTTATCTGTTTTTTTTCAGGAGGCCGCACTCCGTACATTCCATATCAATGATGATTGTACAAAATATTGCATCACTGTACCTACTGATGATGGTAAAAAATCTAAAGAAAAATTCTATTTAATTTAATTTATTGTTTTTGTTTTCTAGGTGGTAACGATCAACCACTTGATGAAACGATGCCATTAAAATCTCTTAAACAATTAAGCGGTCGTACACTTAATATTTATATTCGATATAAAGAACGTGGTGATATGGATATCGATTATATTCGAGTTTATCCTGGAATTCTAAAGTATGTTTTTTTTTTTAAAATAGAATTTCAATAAACAAGAAAATTTATTTTTTCCTTCTAGAACACATGATGGTTTTAAATCCATTAGAATAACATCAGCAAATACAACGTTAGAAGTTATTGCTAAAGCTTTAACTGATTTTGGTTTAAATAATGTTAGTGCCGAAAAATATTCGCTGGTCGAAGTTTTACTTATATCAAATGTTAATTATACCGATCGAATATTAGAGCCCAATGAATATCCTTTACATGTTCTACGAACACAGAGAAAAGTAAATGAAATATATGAAATGTTTTGTTATTTTTTTTTTTGTTATTTTATTTCAGGAATCTGTTCGTAGTCATCGTGTAACACGATTTTATTTACAACATAAAGAAGATCCTCATGGACCCTCTGTGTCTTTATTTGTCGGCAATTTACCTCCAGGTCCACGTACGGAAAAACAATATGAAAAAATTCTTTTTCAAGATATATTTAAATCTGATAAAGATTTAAAATGGGATAATATGGATGTTATTTATTATGAACATGGAGCAATGGTTTTAGTATATAATGATAGTGATCGTGCAACACGTGCATTTACAAAATTACGACAAGCAAAACATGATCAAAAACAATTATTAGTATTAATGTTACCAAATATTCAACCAGAATTTATTCCATCACATGTTACTCCATTACTTGTATTTGTTAATGTTAAATCAGGTGGACAACAAGGAGCTGAATTAATAACAAATTTTCGTCATTTACTTAATCCACATCAAGTATTTGATTTACAAAATGGTGGACCATTACCTGGTCTATATGTTTTTCGAAATATTCCACATTATCGTATATTAGCATGTGGAGGTGATGGAACAGTTGGTTGGGTACTTAGTTGTTTAGATAATGTTGGTCAAGATGCATTATGTCAATCGCCACCTGTTGGCATTGTACCACTTGGTACTGGAAATGATTTAGCACGTGTTTTACGTTGGGGTTCTGGTTATGCAGGTGGTGAAGAACCTTTAGCATTGCTCAGGGATATTGTTGATGCCGAAGAAATTAAATTAGATCGTTGGACTGTTGTTTTTCATCAAGATCAAGATAAACGTGCACCAGCAGTATCAGATTCAAATCCTGCAAAACCAACAACAACAAAACCACCACAAACTCACAAAGTACCCAAGAAACCAATACTTAATCCAGCACCACCACCATCAGTTTCATTACCGGTTTGTTTATTTTAATTTCTATAAATTAACTAATAGAATAATATAATATCATTACATCATCGATGATAAATAGTTCTAATGAATTTTAAAATATACTTAGTAGTTGTTAATGTGATGATAGTGTGAAAATATCTTTTCATACAATAATTAACATTTGTGAATGTTATATGTATTGACATCTCTCAAGAGAATAACTATCGAATGGTATTCGAATTTTTTATTTTAACTATGAATAGGAATTAGAAAGATTCGAATCTATAATCATAGTTTAAATAAAAAATTTTTTTTTCTATAGATTGCTATACAAGAAGGTACAACAAATGAAGATAAAACAGAAATGTTTGTTATGAATAATTATTTTGGTCTTGGTCTCGATGCTGATATATGTCTGGATTTTCATATGGCAAGAGAAGAAAATCCAAATAAATTTAATAGCCGGTACATTATTTTCTTTATAATTTTATCATATATATAATATTTGAATTTAGAATACAAGCGAAAGGTTATTATCTTAAAACTGGTATAAGAAAAATGATGAAAAAAGGTGGTTTAAAAGATTTCACACGAGATATTGTACTTGAAGTTGATGGAAGACGTGTGGAATTACCACAACTTGAAGGAATTGTTATTATGAATATTCTTAGTTGGGCAAGTGGAGCTAATTTATGGGGACATGAAAAAGATGAGAAATTTAGTAAACCAACACATTATGATGGTATGTTAGAAGTTGTTGGTGTTACTGGTATTGTACATCTCGGACAAATACAATCAGGTATACGGTCTGGTGTTCGACTTGCTCAAGGTGGACATGTAAGATTTCATAAATTTTTCAAAAAAACGAAATATATATCGAACTATTTTATTTTCAGATTCATATACGTATGAATAATGATTATCCAGTTCCAGTGCAAGTTGATGGTGAACCATGGCTTCAACCTCCCTGTGACATAACTATCATACGATCAGCACTTAAAGTATAGAAAAATAATCAATTCATAGGGCTTATATTTCATTATTCTTATTTAATTTTTAGGCAACAATGCTTCGTAAACGTAAATCTAAAATCAAACGTCGAAATACAGAACCAAGTGTTTATTTTCCTGATGTAGATGATGACTCAAAATGTTGAGATCGTTTCTTTCTTTTTTCTTCTCGTCTCAGCTGGTCTGAGATAAACATATATATGTATATGAACCATATATTTCTCCCTGAAATAATTCTAGTCATTGGATTTCTTTTTTTTTTCTCTTCGTTCGTTTTCTTTCTTTTTTTCTTCTTCTTCTTTGCATAGAACACATCGGTGACGCGCGCGTCTCTCATCTCATATTCTTTTTCTATTGTATACATATCAAGAAGAGGAAGAAGAGTAGAGATTACTATTATTATTATTATTATTATTTGAAAAATATGCGCGTGCATAATAATGACACACATGAAAAAGCAGAAAACAAGTATATACATATAGATATACTCTATTTCATTTCATCTTGAAATCTAGTCGCTGCTAATGATGTGTGTGCGTTTGATTGTTTTTTAGGCAAAATTTTTCTTTCTCTCGCAATTCTTTTTTTTTCTCGCGACTGAATAGTGTGTTCGTGTTTGTGTTTAGTCCTTTTTTTTCTTCTTCTCTCTTCTCTTCTATCTCGTTTTGTTTTTCTCGTATATTTTAAATTACACATTTATAAACTAACTACTAGAACAGTGATTCTCGTTCGTATTTACCTTATAGATACTTGTGCGGTTTACTTTTCTTTGTATCGTTCATCTTTTTTCTTCTCTTCTTTCTTTTTTTGCCACAAAATGCTATCTATCCTTTTTTGTTTGGTTTTTTTTTCGTGTACAACCGCAGAAAAAGATTTTTGTCAAGTGTGTGTGCGTGTGTGTGTATTTCTCTCATGACTGTTCTGTACGCGCTCTCTTTCTCTCTTTTATTTCTTTCTTCTCTCGACAATTCAAATAAATATCATACATTTAACATAAGAATTGTTTTTTTGTTTTTCTTGATACGAATAACGAACAGAAAAAAAAAGAACCCGAGAATATCCAACATAAAAACACAATATTGAAAATTTAATAGAATTCCTTTTTTTTTCTTTAGATAAATTCATCGAATCGTGACAAAAATTAAAATACAATGCCTACAGAAACTGCCAATGCTACATCAGGTACAACATCAACTGTTTATGGTGGTTTAGAAGGACCTGAATCAATGTATTTAAAATTAATTTCATCCGATGGTCATGAATTTGTTGTACGTCGTGATTTTGCTATAAGTGCATCACCAACAATTAAAAATATGCTTAGCGGTCCTGGACAATATTCTGAATCGCAACCAAATGAAATCTATCTCAAAGATATTCCATCGCATGTACTTATTAATGTTTGTCGATATTTTGCTTATAAAGCTAAATATACAAAGTAAAAAATTTCGTTTATTTTATATTTAAATAAAAGTTTTTATTATATTTTAGTTCATCGATCGATATACCTGAATTTCCAATCGACACTCAAGTTGTATTAGAACTGCTTGTTGCATCAGATTTTCTTGATTGTTAATAGATCAAACATATATGAACTGTTTTCTTTTTTCGCTGCTATGTATAATGTATTAAATTTACGCCATATTCTTATTGAACAATGAGGAATATCAGGAAGAAAATTAGATATTCTTCTTGTTGTAAATATTCTAATCATTTAAACAAAAAAACACACTAAGATTAAACATAGCGATATTGAGAGTTACCTTTTTCTTGCATTTTTTTTATCTAAAAAAGTTAATAAAATAAAATCATATGCAATTAGAATTCATTATATCAAAATAACGAATTAATTTAATTGATATATAAATCTAGTGTATGTATTTTGAAATGTGTTAATGTAGTAATTGAATTTATAATATCAAGATTAGAATAATAACAAAATGGTTAGGTTTTTTGTTATTTTATAGTCTTATTTATTATCGAAGGGTCACAAAAGAAGATTAAGATTACTCGGTCATATCTGTAAAACTCACAGTATTCGCTAAAATAGATGGAAATCACCGAAGAGATCGTCCATGTAGAGAATGACATCAAGAATGGATGTGGACAAGACTGATCCGCACAGTGGTTGAACACAATGGGCGATACGCCTGCAACACATCATGAATCATGTAGTGTTACTTAACAATACATTCAATATGATCTATAAAAAGATCTTGTTTTTATATTCATGCCATTATTTTACGATTATCAATAACTGATGATGGAATATATAGTAAGATTAAACGTACAAAAATAACATTTATTTTATTTTCTTTTTGTTCTGATATTTCGTATTAAATTATAACTTTTACGATATTATTGTTGATCTAATTTTTTACAATTAACGGATAATTCAAAGATGTTCTATTATTTATATTTGATTCATTCCGATGTATGATCTGTTACTTTTACTATTGTATTGATTAGTTTCATTTGGTTAAACTCCATTGTGAAAAAAATCTCATTACTTTTATTTTTATTTGTTTGTAAATAGAAAAAGATATTATTTAATTATTTATATGTAGAGAATGAATGAATAAATAATGTATTTAATACATAGATTAATATTGGTTTCATTTAACTATTGAATACAATCATGAAATATTAAGATTTTGTAAATAATTTCTTTCTGTTGATAGAAATTAAAAAAAAAATCTTATCAATATGAGAAATAAAACTTTTATTGACGCACATTTTTCTTCGATTTCTCGATAGTGTAGATAATAGAGAAAATTTACTGTATTAAATCAAGTATATGCATATATTCAAAAATTTATCAAAAAATATTGAATAATTTAAATAATCGGAAGCGAAATTACAGCCTAATCAAAATCCTCTATTGAAATTATATATTAAAATAGATGATTTTTTCGGTCTTTAATCAAAATAAAATATTTCACTAAATTTTAAATTGATAATTCAGATCTGAAATCATTTTCGAATTTCTTAAACTTAATCTATTTCTCGAAAACAATATTAGTTTCAGTTTTTTTTCTTGTATTATGTCTTATATTTACTCTTCTTGAATAATACACTATAACAATTTAAAGAAAAATATATAGATAAAGAATCCAAAAAAAAAGAAAGAAAGAATAGAGAAGACAAAAAGTATAAATATATATATCAGTATACAGTTAACTTATTGTTTTTGTCATGAACTTTTGAAGAAACAAAAAAATAATTGTTTTATTTTCGTACGAAATACTAGTTGATATTGTGTTGTAAATTTCACATAGATAAAAAAATTTGCCAAATATGTTATTAATTCTAATAAATTAACAACTAATGCATAATATTTATATGAAATTTTTTTTGTATCTTTAAAAATAAAATTTGGATAAGCACATAACATAGGAATTTGTCCACATAAATAAAGTGATGATAACCAAACAAGCATAATTGTTAATTGTTTTTCTTGTTGTTGTTTTCTTATATGCATTTTACTTTTTGATGTTGTTGATACAAATGATGGTCGTTGTTGTCCATTTGTTCCTTCTTCAAGTGATGTTGGTATAAGACTATCAGTTTGAGATTGAGATTCTGATATATATTTATTAATTGGTTTTGTATCATGACCATTCGTTGACGGATGGAGTGATATAGACATTGTTGTTGTTAATGTCGGATTTTGTACGGATTTGGTTTTTGGTTTAAATTTTTTATTAGCAGCATGTACTGTTGATAATAAAAGACAATTTGAACATATTAATATACATATAGGAATAAAACGTAAAAGAATTTCTTTACATATACCAAACCATTTATATGCATTTGTTGTTGCTATTATTGTTACATCAAAATTATTACATTCACCAACTCTATATACAAGAAAATTAACTGAATTAGCAAGTACTGGAAATAGAAAACATATAATTAAAGTTAATAAGACACGATTTGCACTAAATAAACGTTGTTTTGACATAGGCCACCGTACACTAACAAGTCGTTCAATAGTTACAGTTATTGTTAATAAAACATTACATGCTGCTGTTATATTAGCCATTGGAAAATAAACATTAACTAAATACCATATACGAAAATATTTATCATTTAATGTACGTGGTCGAGTATAATTTGTAATACAATATATAAATACAAGTATACATGTTATACAATCAACAAATGCGATAAGACGTAAATATTTAAATGTTAAATTTTTAAATGAACGATCAAAAAATACAATTAAATTAATTACATTTAATATAAGACCAATAAGACATATTGGAGACATAATATATAAATAAAAAATTTGTTCAACAACGAGATATTGTAATGCCACACTACAATTATTTGTTGTTTCTATAGAATCAATTGTCGAATTACTTAATAAAGTTAAAGTTAAATTATGATCGACAGCTAAAGCTGTCGATGATAAGATTATATGATCATTCATGAGGAATAGAAAAATGATTGAATTAGAATATTACATATCTACAAAGAATATAAAACAATTAAATATATATATCTATTCGAAATAATAGAAAAGTACCGGAATTCCATAATTGAACAAGTAAAAACATTCTTAATTGTTACATACTATGAAAATAGCATCTTATGCTTATAAGACAAAGAATAGATTTAACTTCATGAGTTTCCTGTTCCTGAGAATTTACTATTTTATGCTTCCGTTTATATATATACTATAAGATAATGTATGAATTATTTATTCTGTTTATTTTTACTAGAAGAAAAAAGTAAGGTAAAATATAAAATTTTAATGAACTATGGTTAGAATAATTTTTATATTTTATTTAGTCTGTTTAATATTCAATTATGTATGTCTTTATCTATTTTAATAAATAATATATTACATAAATTTTTCTATGACGAAACGAGAAAAAATCTCTTTGGTTAGTTGTAGTAGAGAATAACGATTTGTTTTCCTTATTGGTTTATCGGAAAATATTTATAATAGATTAGTATTTAAAATCATGATTACTACCGAACAAAAGATTTAAATATCTTATTATTCGATGAAATCATATAGCTCAAAAGAACAACAAGATGAATTGGATCAAAATACAAATCTTTGATAATAATACAGTGACTGAAGTACCTTATTTTCGTATAGAAGATTTGCAGAAATTTTCTTTTTGTATGAGATCATAGAGAAAACGAAGTTCTATTTGATAAGAACTGATTTTGGTGTAAAACTTAACTCTTTCTTTCCCATGGCTGAAGTTTAAGATCTGAAACCGAAATTCGTCCATTATTGTGATCAAAATGATCTCTAATATGCACTGAAGAACTCTAATTCATATCTGTGCGGGTGAGCGGTGGGATGATGGTGTGAGTGATGCGTTGAAACTCTTTTATAGTACAGATCAATCGCATAGCATAACGTAGTATATTTGTCTGTGCCACAAATACAAAGTTTTATCAAGAATATAATGATTAAATTATTGATATTAAATCTGCGATAGATGTGTCTTAGTTTGGTAAAAAAATAGTTAGTATACTCCTCGTAGATCAAGCAAACCAAACTTTTTAAAAAATGGTACCTATAGATACCATTGGGAAAGAAAGGGTTAAGTAACGGACGAACTATGATTGATCGCCGGGTTTCTAATAGGTTTTATCATGAGATGTAATATGAAAATAAGGTACTTCAACCACTACTTTTCGATGTCCCTAGGTATTTATAGTTAATATAGAAAACAAAATAGAAATAGATTTGTTTTTTGGTAATTCACCTAATTAAATCAATAATATAAATAACTTGATGTATTTTTTTGTTTGTTTGTTAGTTAATTCTTCCGGAAGTAAGCAATCACTTCTCAAAAAAAAATGATACTAATCCTTAATCCAGTTTATTTATTACTCAATTATGTAAATTTGTATGACATTTTTTTTTTTATTATTATTATTTCTCAAAAATAATATCTTGTCTCTCTCTCTTGGAAATGTATTATTTATGTACTCATATGAATAAAATAAAAAAAAATATGTATCATTGAGTAATATATATATTCTTATAGTTTACCGGATATAAGAATTAATTATACGATATACAGATAACTTTAACTTACCGGATATGAAATTAAGTAAAAAGTAATAGATTATAAATATAAAAGGATAACTCAACCTACTTTTCTTTCATAATAGGAAGTTACTTACACATGTTGAATAATGATATATTGATATATGTGCATAGATATCCGTCGTTATTCTATGAAATCTAATGACAACATCTAGAGTAATACTGACGCTTGTTGTCTTATCAATGAATAGAGACAAGTCGTTCCTTTGAAAAGAAGAAAAAAGGGCGGAGAGAACATAAAGTTTTCTTCTCTTTGTCTTTGTTGCTTACTAATATGACTAAAACTGCGGAACATTAACAAAATTAATTGTTTTCGTTATTATCATCATCTTTTATCATGAAGTATAGTGATGAGTGCATGTTCTTACTCTTTAGTATAAGCATAAAGCGATTTCAGTGAACATAAGAAGAGAGGAAAAGGCGAGCGGCCATGTCTTTGTTCGATCGTATCCGAACAAAAGCCTGCGTTGTTCTTCATCTTCTTCTTCTTCTCGGGAGCTGAAACAAACAGAAGTCTAGGACCTTCTCCTTTATCGTGAGTGTCTAAAACGGAATCTATTGAATAAAAAGGAATCAAATGGAGAGTAGCCGAGAATAAAAAAAAAAATAAATAAAGAGAAAAAAAGAAAAGATGCATGTTGACTAATGACAGGCATGAACGAAAAAAATCATAACAATAATTTAAATTAGTCAGTATTAGGATTTACTTGTGTCTATCACCGATGACAAACCAGAAATGAAGGAACTCGTTTATGGCAACCAACAACTGTCGAATTATAAAGAGAAAAAAAAATTTCCTTTCTTTTTTTGTGCGCAATCTGACAATGGAGAAAAAAAACAGGTTAATTGATGTAAAAAAAAAGACCTTTCTCTCTTTTTTCTCAAATAACACTATATTCAAAGATATGATATACTCATATAGCTAATAATTGTATATGAAAATCAAAAACCATATATAATTAGTACTGACAACTGCTTCTTTTCTCATTTAAGACTCAATTTACGGAGGCAAAAAACGAGAAAATGTTTGAATGCCACCTTTTTCCTTACTAACATGAAAATATATAAGCATATGTTTCATATAAAATCAATATTATAATAAACTTTCTCGCCTAATTCATATATACATTTGTGTTTTTCTTTTCAACGATATCATGCATTGATGCATATAATGGATAGTTTGATTTATTATTCGATCGTGAGACACATTAGTATTAGAAAAACTAACTCTAAAATCTCATCAGCAATTACATGTAACAATCGAACAAATCTCAAGAGAATATATCACACATAAATAGAAGAGAAAAAAATACTAGATAATACATTATACTATATTAAACACAACTATACATTAATCTAATTGATTCTATATAAAACAAAAAGAAAAAAAAGTCGAATAGATTTTCTATTAAATATTTAAACAAAAGTTTTTTTGTCACTACAATGAATATGACAAGCAAAATATCTGATAATAGAAAGATGTTTACATACCATAGAATAATAATTTTGTAAGTAATATAAATTAAATAATTATCTAAAGAAAGACAAGATATGTATCATCAGTACATATAGAAAATGAAGAAAGTTTATTTATTAAAATTTGAATCTCATATTAATGAATATCAATATTCTATACTAAAAGAGAAAGCTATTTAGTATTTCATATAGTCACTTCCTTTTTCTTTCTTCTTTTTCTTTTCTATATTGAAGTATCTATTATGTTCATTCTTCCTGATCATGAAATCTAGTGATGTATCTGCTTGTCATCTCTAGTACACTACTTAACTCAGATGAAGCGTCTGATAATTTAGTTTGGTATTCTTAAATATACAGCGAGAGATATATACGAATATATATTTTTTTATCATCGATGATAATAAATGCATTTACTCTTGTCAGTTTTCATAGTTGATATGACTATTATTAGTAAAAAGAGATATCTTCAAAAAAAAAAGACAAATGCCATTCCAATGCAAAAAACTAATATATACATATAGATACCTTATCCGATCTAAATGACGTATATTGCAAGCATGTCTGGTGACAATAGTAACAGCTTATTGCTGTCATTAAACGTCAGTAAAGTATCAGTATGCAGGTCATTGACTTGCTATTGAGTCTTTCGACAACGTTCACATGAAAAAAAAGAAGAAGAAAAAGAAGAAGAAGTGAAAGAACGAAAAGAACTTGGTTATTAATATTATGAAATTAGAATGTGGGAGGCAAGATAGTAGACTATAGCAAGTTTATTAGCTAAGTGTCGATAGAGCTGCTTGATGCTCTAAACAAAACAGCGCAGCGACAATGGTAATATCATTAGGCCAAGTAATGAATATATTTCTTTTTCGTCTGACACTATATTCTTTTGCCATATATACTTCTGTTATTTGCTACTTATATATCTTGTTATTTGTTATTTTATCCTATACATAAAAAAATATGATACATCAAAGTACAAAAAACAACGGCAATAAAAAGTAATATCATCAAAATTCAAACAAGAAGGGCAACTAATAGATGTAATTGTATAATAAGCTTTCGCCAATGTAATTTTTCTATTATCATTCTAGAACTAGATATGAAAAAAAAAGAATTAGTCAAATAACCTTAGTAGAATATTTATTGGCAAAAAAAAAAGAATACTAAAACATCTCATTGACTTTATATACTAGTAATTTATTTATTCGGGTCATATACTTTGTAAAAAAAATGTAATTAATAAGTATAAAAAAGAATCATGGAGGTATGTATAGTAGTTATTAATTTACATTTAAGTATAATTTCTTATTTGCATTTATAACTATTGTCTCAATTGAATTGTATCATAGTCATAGTAATATCAATAGTAACGAAGTTGTTTTTTATTTCCTTTTCGGAAGTATTTCTCATTCATTCCTTATCAAACAGCTTCAAGAAGAAGAAGCAGAAGAAAAAAGATCGAGTTTCATACATACATAATTCTATTATCATTCAGTGGTCGATTTTCGTTTGGTAGTATCTCGTTATAATAAACGGCAGTTCTTCTAAGTCCAATTATTCTCACTACTACAACTACTTCTCCTTCTTTTTCTTCTTCTTCTTTCTCTTTCCTCTATTTAATCTATTTTGTATTTTTTTTTTCGGAAAAATATGCATGCACTTGATCGTCTAGTGAGAAAATAAAGCGAGATAGCGATATAGATTGTAGCAGGAAACCGATTAAGAATTTACGCTTCAAAAAAAAAATAAGTCGGATGAGATAACGATAAGTACTAACGAAAAATATTCTACCCTTCTTAATAACTAATAAAACAATGCATGATTATTAAAATTCTGACAAGATGATATCATAATTCATTTATTGGATCAATTTGATATTTGTACAAAACAAAAATACTTTCAATATTTATTTAGATTTTGAATGTGATACCAACAAAATTTGATGAAATCTACTAATTATAAATCAAGTTAGGGAAAGGAACATTTATTTCTCGCTTAATCGATATGAATAAAAGACAAAAGAGAGAGAGGAAGACAGGAAATAAGCAGATGACAACCATAACTAGACAGAAAATGAATGTCACCGATTGGATTGTGAATATATATATATTTTTTTGTGAAGAAATTTCTTCTATTATTAAAAAGATTCAAGGTCTTTATTTATGAAAGAAAGACAACAAATAGTACTAATAGAATATCAATACTATGTTAATTAGTTCGAATTATGAGAGAAGAGATTGGGAATTTTGTATTATCACTTATGAGTGCGAATCGTGTCTGTAAAACTAATTTTTTTTCTTTTTTTCTCTCTCTCTCTTCTATTCTTCAAAAGAAAAATGACATGAGTATGTAGAGATCTGATCTCTTCTATTCTTTTATTTTCATTTCATTTTTCATTATCATCATCTTTCGTGTCGTGATAATAGAAAATATTTGTTCACCATCTTCACTTAAGCACAATACACGCACGAATGAAGAAAAAAAAATTGCTCAACACGCTTACCTATATATTATTATTATAAATACGATTAAAAACCAGACTACAAGAAAAAAAATTAAATAATCTTTTTTTTTTTTTCTTCTGTAAATTACTTCCTTATCCAGAGATAAAACGTCTGTGTGTGTGTAGCTGAAGAGAAAAGAAACTAAGTGATAGAGCATATCCAAGATAATATAGTCTAGTTTATTCGCTAATCAAGAAAATTATAGATTGATGATGTCAAAACTAACATGAAATAGATGGTAATGCATAACAGTTACTAGTTAATCTTAATAAACATAAGATTTCCTTCAGAAAAAAAGAACTCAATCAAAATTAGATGATATTTAATATATAAATCCTTAGAAAATTGGACTTTTTCTCTATTTATATTAAAATAACCTAATATCTATCAGAACTGACGAAGAAGAAGAAAAAACTTATTACTTATCATTTACCAATGACATTAATACAGTGAATGAGAATATAGGATTATATACCCATTCTTTTTCGCGAAGAAAATAATATCAAACTAAATAGAAAAAACAGAAAATCATTTATACTGAAACCTATGGATGGAAATATCATTTATAGCTTTATCCATATGAAGGCAATAATGATCGATGGCAAACTATTGTCATTAAAATAGGCAATCGTGCATATGCCATTACGATGTTCCATTGGGAAACTATATAGATTTGAAATTTTTCTTATTACTTGTTATTTTCTTTTTTTTTTCTTCTTCTCTCTCGTCTATTAAAGACAAAATTCCTAATGATCCAAGACATTGATGAAATGAAACAAGATGTTGTTCTTCACTGACAACTTTTTTATATTCGATTAGTTATGTTCGATAATCTGAGAAAAAAAAAAGAAAAAATGTCATAGTCTCGCGAGGATATCAAAAGAATCGATCAAAATAGCTTTAGTCAATTTTTAATTTCTTATTTTTTGATAAATGTGTGTTAATCGATGATGACAGTATAATAAAGTATGGATGAATAGTTTTACTTCTTGTGACAAATGGAAAAGTATTTAAGAAATACTTTTTAACGGTTCACTGAAAATTCTTCCATATTTATCATTTGTATCAAATTAATAAATAAGACCAGATATGGTTGAGTAATTTAAAGAATAAAAGACTTTTTTTTTTTTCTTTAGACGATTTTCTATTATGAAAAGCTTACATATCAGATTTGGATTTTGTGTTTTTCATAATGTAATATTGTCTACATTACAGAAGAAAATTTACAATCATGTATAGAGAAAAAAAAAATAAACAAGCTTTTTTTTTCTCTGTCTTCTATTCATTAGATTTATACTCATACGATAGAATAGAATGACCCTTGCATAAATTAACAAGATTTAGATAAGGAAGTATTTGAGAGAGAAAAAAAATTGATTAGAAACATAGAATACACAAAGGAAAAGATGTTTATATTTAATTAACTAAATCAAGCAAATAGATCTAGATCTTCACAAAATATAACTAATTATATGTCGAATTTATTTATCATCACAATTTTTTTATTAAATACAACTCTTTTGTATATGGATCAAGAGAAATTTGTAGAGATATCGTATATCAAGATCTATGTTGATATGTATGTTTTGCAATGTAATGTTGACGTATATAAATATATATTTGTATGTATACAATAAAAACTTGTTTGTTATGTTTTGTATGAAGTAGATCTATCGGAAAAAATAATATGTTTGTATCAAGATACAACACGTACTTCGAGAATTAAGTGATTCATAAGACAAAATGTAATTAATATAAATCTTGTCTAAGCTAAATGTTTTCATTAATCAGAAAACTTATCCATGTATTTTCTTATCATAATGATGTACGATATTACAAAAAAATATCAAGTAAAAAATAGTTTTAATTATCTACAGTAGAATTTTACAAATAAACTAAATAATTTTGCAATATTTATAATAGGATTTTTAAAAATTAAATTACATACTCATCTACATATTATAAATCTTGGTATATCCTTTAAGCTCTTGGTATATTATTAATAAAATGAAAGGATAGAGAAATAGTACTCAGAACACACTTCGATTAGTATTGTTATTTTCTTTTGTATAAACAATATTTCTTACTTGTTCTATTAATAATAGATATGCTAATCAAAAATATTTATATTCTCTGGTTAAATATGTTTTTCTCTCCTTCAAATTAATTATTTATTAATTTTCTATATTAATAAATAATCTTGATTTTTTTCCAACTGTATCAAAGTTATTGTTTGATTATCAATTTGTGTTTTATAATAAACACGAGATCAAATTTTCATTGAACCTGTCATAAGACTTGTATTAAATTAAATTTCCATAAAACTCCTTAAAGTATTTAATCATAAGTGTATTAATTATTTGAATCTATACAAAAATAGGATATTAAGCTACTTGTATATAAATGTCAAGATTGAATTATATATTTACCTAGCATATTGTTGATTACATCTGATTTCGAAACTATAAATAAATATTAAAAATTCTTGATTTATAAGTATTAATAGAATTTTAAATTTGATTTTAAAACTTATTATCTCGGAATTTTCGAGAGTATTTATATATAAATCCTAATATTAATCAAAGAGTATAAAAATAAGAAATAGAGCAGTTAAGTACTATATTGTATTTAAATTAGAAACTTGTTAAATAACAAAAGACAATTTTTGTCATTCATATATTTATATATATATATGTACATGTCTTATTGATAGAATCAAAGAATATTTTTTATAAAATTATAAATAAAACGAGATTTAATAATTATTAATATTTACATCCAAATAAGTAATCGACTTCCTTTCTCATTGAAATAAGCAGCAAATTGTTTTCCTTCGAAATAATTACGATGATATATTAACCATTTTTCAGCATTATCTTTCATTTCATTTGAAGGTTTACCATCAGCACAAAATGATATTAATGGTGCATTTTGTTTCAGAAATTCATCAAAATAACATAAAACCATTAAATCTATTGTCGTGTCTAAAGATCTCATATCAATATATAAATGTCGTAGATGTAAAAATGTCATAGCAATTCGTGTAATATTTTCTTTTGCATTCGATGGACATGATGGCATATTATTAATTGTTAAAGCAGTTATACGTTGTTGCAGGAGTAAACAAATACTTTCATTATTAAGTAAAAGTAATAATGTATTATAATTTAAATCTAAACGAAATAAATTTGGAGCAGCATCAAGTATAGTTGACATATGATAGAGATCTTTCGGTGGAAAACCAACTAATGTTAATCGACGAAGACGTGGCATTTTAGGTAAAATATCATTTTTATTTTCTTGAGTATGATCTTGAACTAAAAATATATGAAATAAAGGTCAAGTTAAGTGTGCTCCAAATTTAGAATTCACGGATGTCTATGTTGTCGCGAGAAACTACCTAAAAACTATAATCATCTGTTTTTTATTGCTCTAATAGATACTTTGGACTGTGCTGAGTCGACTGATGATGCTCAAGAAAAAAAGCACATAGTTACAAGCAACAATTTGTCGAAAAACTTGACGGAAAAATAAACGAAATTTAATATGCTCCATGTCGCATATATTTATTTTTTTGTACTGTTAGAAAATCATTATTTTCGCTTTTAATAAGAATGTGTAAGATTAATTATATTTAGAGAAAATTATTCTAACCTGAATTATAATTATTTGGATTATTTACATCGACTTCATGTAACCAAATCATACTATGTTTAATTCTTTGACAATAACTAAGAATTGGAAATGCTTCAGCTAATGTAAAATCACAATCGACATGTAATCGTTGAACATTTTTATATGCATTTTGATTTTTTAATATTGATTGAGCAACCGATGATGAAATTTCTAAATAATCAAATGATGAATATGGTAATGTATGTAAAAACATGTAATCATTTTGTATAGAATTATTTAAACATATGATTGGACGTATATTTTTCCATGTATTTAATATTTCAATATAATTTATTGATTGTTGATCAGGTAAATAATGTATAGCATAATGAAATTCTTCAATTTTATAAAATAAATATTTTTGTAAAAGTTCACCATTTGTTAATGTTAAATCCGATGTACGTAAATTTAATGATAAATATTTAATTGAAGGTAATTTTTCTAGCAAAAGTCTTAATTCATTTAAATACCATGAACGTTCAATAGATTTTAATTGAAAATGTGTTAGAAATTGTAAGATTTCTGATTTAAATATTCGACTCATATTATCGCAATTATCTTTTCGATGTATTGATACAGATAATGAACGTATATTTGGTATAATTGTAAATAATACCGATAAATCATATATAGTTAAAATTTCAATTTTTAAATTTATTATATTTGGACATGTTATTTGGTTTGCTAGATGTTTTTTTATTGGATTTAAATGACTTGATTGATCATCAATAAATATCGATGTTAAACGATGATTATTTGCTTGTAATAATGCTAATAAAACTTCTGTTTGTTGTTTTATTGGTACACGAAATAAACTACGCATATCAATTGTATGTAAATTTTCTAAATTATCTAAGATTTTAAGAAATATTAATAATGGATCAGGACGAAATGAGACAAGAATGATTTTTTTTAATTCAGGAAAACATATTGACATACGATTTTGAAAATATTTTGGAAATGATATTGCTTGTAAAGCTGAATAACAATTATCGATAATTAATGTATGAATTTGTGTACCAATTTTAGGAAGAATTTTCGTAAATAATTTATAGGATTGAGCATAGGATGCTTTATGTAATGATACATGACGACGATAATCACTTATCATATATGTCATACGAATATTGAGATTATCGAAACTGAGTAAAACATCAACACATAAAAGATATTTACATACTTCGAGTAGAAGTTCATCTGGTAATGATTCAAGATTTGAGATGTAACTCATCTAAAAAAAATATTTTTCACGTGATTTGAAGTCTAGGCAGTAAAAAATACCAACTAACTCAATTCGCAATAAGTACAATTGTAAATATGTACTTATTACAAAATAATAAATGATTGATGAGTAGGCCAACGCGACCTTTCGGACAAAAAAAAAGCTAGTCATAAATATTTGTTTTTCTTTAAGCTACATCCTCCTTAAAATGATACTGTGTCCGTTGTGAAAGAACGTAAAATTTTATTCAATATGTATATTTTATTTTATAAGATTTTTGTATAAGTATATTCGAATAATCAATCATATTTATTCCAAAATAAATATAATTTGATGTCGAATATTTATTAAAACATGTGAAGTATATTATATTTTTCTTTGAAAATGAAATAATAATGTTGTTTTTCTGTAATAAAATAGTCTTATAAAAGGTAAATCTTACTGTAGAATATTTATCGGTAAAAAAAATTAATAAACCTATGAAGTATAATACTTATCTCAAGCGATATATTATTATTATAAGAGATAATTAGGCATAAGGACAAAGAAAATAGATTTGTCCGAAAGGTGCATTTGATTTATTCTTGTTGCTTCGATACTCAGTCAATCATATGAATAATTTAAAAATTTAAAAATAAATATTTAAATTTTTATGTGAAACTGACTAGAGCTTCAATCTAGAAAATTTAGATTTAAGAATGAAATACAACATAGATGTCGCCAATTAGCAACCCTAGCAATCAATTACAAAAAAGAATATCGATCGTAATCATATAACATTATAGTGGTATATGTATGAAGCTTTTTTATATCGTATAATCGTAACAATTCTGTAACTCAAATTTAGGTAAAATTTTTTAGTCTGTCGATAGAAGATTTCGCCAAAAAGGGTAAACTCATGTCTTTCAATATTATTTTTCGAAATAGACATTTTATTTATCATGCCAATTAATTTTCCTGATTCTACAACTTCATTCGTATCTATACTAACATCTAGTATTTCTTCATATGATCTGTTACTTACCCTGAAATAAAATGACCGCCATATCATTTATTATTTATCTATTTTTTTATGTACTTGTAATCCTTTTATCAAGGATTCGTGTGTTTCATCTATAGGGTGTCGCCTAATCTTCGCTTCTTTTCGAATTTGTCCTTAAACTTCATCTCTTTCTGTTATTGTTATGTCTGTCATTTCTCATAATACAGAAAGAACGAGAAAAAGATTGTTTACGTGCAATTTTTGATATTTGAAATAAACATACAGATACAAATTCTTAAATAATGCTTATTGCATTAAAAGACTATCATCGCACTTCTATTCTCTATGCACATTGTCTTTCGTATTTCTGATATTAAATCGATGATCGAAAATAATCTTTCATATGAAATGAACTTCATCTTTACTCATGGAAATGACAAAGATCTTTTCAAATGTAAAAGTATGATATAGATAAATTAATTACTAATTTGAATTAATTAATTTGACAAAGCTCACGAAATTTACAAAGTCTTACTTATTTAGACGGTGAATGAGTGCATGGGCGACGGAACGATTTCGTTCTAGGGTATGCTTAACTTTACAGGCGGATCACTTAAGGAGAGGCTCAATTTTTCAAACAAATAAACATTGGCCTACAATTAGTATTAACGAATAAAGATATTTTAATACCATACATTGAAACAACGAAACGATCAGCAATTAATTGCAGTATATCTGATCCATCGAAAATTTCTGATCAATATTAGCTATTAGGGTGTATAATGGAGGATGAATGACTATGAATGAGAAACAGTTGTTCAACAGACTTAAAGCACAACAGAAAAAATGAATTAGAAAGTCGCTTAAACTAAGATAAAAGGTGTTCATGGAAAATTACGAAAAACCGAAACAGACGATCCTCTCCTATTTTGTAAACATAGCCTTCTGCATCTTGTACCATTATATTTTTGATAAAAAAAAGAAAAATAAGCATTCTATTTTTGTTTGAAATCTTTCGACTGATCCGTTATGATGGTTGTTATTATAGTACTAAAATCTGTACAGTCTAAAGGTCATTTGAAACCATGCATTTAGATTACTGAATTTGAGCATCAATTCTCTTGAAGAAAGTATACCGGTAGTTTTGAATTGTTTGGCTTCTTTTTTCAGGTTTAAGTCAACCTTTCTTCGAGGAAGAAAGCTTCATTTTTTTCGTGTTTATGGTATATATAAGTGCATGAAAAGTTTTAGTTGATTTACTAGGCTTCTACTTCGAATAATACTTTCCCAAAAAAAAAATTCAGATCAAAAGTTTACATATAAATCTGTTTATGGATAAATCCAGTAGTCGTCACCAGTCCAGAAAACTTAACAGAAGAGACCATATATGTTTCCCAAAATATTGAAGTAAGTTTACAAACTGCTGTGATAAAATTAAATCGGTTCGAAAGGATAATTATTTCGACACTCAAAGCTTAAGGATCTCTAATAGCTACTTTATCCTTCTATACATGAAATACGCTACGATAACTTGTACTAATATATTGCAAGCACGCACGCTTTACAATTCGTTTTTGTGTAGCTAATATCTACTTAGCGTTTCAAAATAAAACCAAACCAAACCACGGGAACGGTCTCACATGGTTTTTGGTGCAGTAAGAAGAAGATATGTCTTCATGTACATATGATTACTAGCAGTCTGTCTAAGCAGAAATACATTTTCTGCTGAAATCTTATGATACAAACCTGTCAACTATTTCATAAATTCCTTTTTTCTTCTGTTTATTTCGGTTGAGGAGCCACTATTAGACTCCATCCAAACACCGATTCGGGTGCCATAGCAACAAAAATTACGCCCTAGAACAACCTTTACTTCCCAAACATTTCACATTCATTATATTTCTGTGTCCTCCTAGCCACGAAAAGAAGACAAAACCTTTTCTTGCTGCAAAAAATCAAATATATTTCTTGAGTCGACATGGAATCGTATGAATATTAAAAAGTTCAAACAGTCTTCCTCGTTGTTGCTGTTTTTAGGATTAATTATTAAAGGTACTCTATTTTCATAGTTGTATGTATTTCGCCTGGGTTCTGAAGTTGCTGTCGTCGAAAAGAATCAAATAAACTGTTCTTCAGATTGAGTGTGGTGAGTGTCTGTGTGAATGATGAGGTAAAGTGAAGAGGAAGAAGAACAAGTATTATCGTTACTTTGTTGATTTCTAGAGCATTGGCTAGATCTTCTACTCCTTGATCGCCGATTTGATTGTTCCACAGGTGGAGCGTGGTGAGTGTCTGTATGAAAAGTGTATGAATACTAAAGTGAAGAGCAAGAAGAACAAATATTATCGTTACTTTGTTGATTTCTAGAGCATTAGCAACATATTGCGCTCCTTGATCGCCGATTTGATTGCCTTCGAGGTAGTGTCCTGCGGGAACGACATTTTTCCCTGTTTTTCCCTTTTCCCATTCCCATGGGAATGGGAATGGGAATTCCCATTTACATTTAGGGAATGGGAACGTGGGAATGGGAACGGAGCGAAAAGCTCACGTTCCCTAAACTGTGACTACCTTTTTTCAATACATAAAAATATTTCTATCTAACAACTGCTTATTTTTAATAATTTTTCTTATTCATATATAATTAACAAAAAATTAACAAATGTGTATCAGGAAAGATAGACTTTTGCTTTATTCTTAACTACATCATTATTTAATCTTCCTGAATAAAATTTTCTTTTTCATCAGCGTCGTTCAAGATAACATTATCAAGATCATTTTGTCGTAACACTTCATTACTATCATGTTGCTGTGATAAATCGTTATCATCATCCTCTGTTTAATACTTCTGTTTCTTCATCGCTGTAGTTGATGTATTACTATCTTTTCGTTTTTTTATTTATTAAATAGATGTGGAAATAATTCTTTCAACAATGATAAGTTTCGACGTATAAATCATATTTTATATGATATTAAAAAAGCAAGCATTAGTAGAGTATTCAGTAAAATATTCCTCGAATCGTATCGTACTTTTGGTTTCTTTAATAACACGTTACGATGCGCAGAAGTGATGTCAACAACAACAACTAGTACACATATATGGTAATGACCCTTTTCTTGTAGATGAAGAGAGCCTTTGAAAATTCAGGGAACTAAGGGAATGGGAACAGGGAATGGGAAGTTAGGAAAAAAAATAAGGGAATGGGAATAGGGAATGGGAAGTAAGAAAAAAAATTAAGGGAATGGGAATAGGGAATGGGAAGCAAATAAAGTCGTTCCCGCAGGACACTACTTCGAGGTTAAGTGTGGTGAGTGTCTGTGTGAAAATTGTGTAAATAAAGAAATGAAGTGAAGAACAACAAGTATTGTTGTTACTTTGTTGGTTTTTAGAGCATTGGCAAGATCTTGTGCTCCTTGTTCACCGATTTGATTCATTTGGAGGTTTATTGTGGAGAGTGTCTGTGTGAAAAGTGTATGAATGATGAAGTAAAGTGAAGAGGAAGAAGAACAA